CATGCAATGTTCAGTCATACCTAGGATGTAGAAATGAATCAGCTGTCCCCCTAGAGTCAGTCTAATGTGCTTGTAGCACACAAGCAAATGTTTTAGACAATATGGGGAAGTGGGATCCTTGGTGCTCTCTGATGCTTGGTTGTTTCCTTGCAGACGTTTTATTACCCAACTAGGTAACATCATCAGTGCTAGGAAGGAATGGGGTTGGCGCTCTGTTTATATACAAGCAAAACCCACTCGCTTCTAGCACTGATATAAAAAAAACAATATTGCTTAAGTCTGATGTCACTATATTGTAGTTTAAGGCAGTGCATGTGTAATATTTGCGCATGGCTACCAGTGGCAATAAATCTCATCAGGCTCAAGGTTGACTCAGCTTTCCATCCTTCCGAGATGGATAAAATGGGGACTCAGATTGTTGCGGGCAAGATGCTGCCTCTGTAAACTGCTTAGAGAGGGCTGTAAAAGCAATGTGAAGCGGTATATAAGTCTAAGTGGTATTGCTATTTCAATGGAGCCATGCAATTTCAGTACATTGTAGTCCCTGACTTACCACAATTCGTTTAACCTCAGTTCAAAGCTACAACAGCCTCGGAAGAAAATTACTTACAAACTGTAGAGTTGAAAAGCATTTCCACTGATACGTTCCCTGAACACATATTAAGACTCTGCTATGGCAACAATTTATTTATCGTTAATCAAATTCATACTGACGTCTATCTCTCCAAAAGCCACTCTGCATTGTTGTCCAGCAACAGACAAAACAATCGATAGGGGGGGAAAAAACAGGTAGATAAAAAAATTTAAAAGCAACCGTAATAAATACTAGAAAAAGTACGAAGGGGCCATAATTTTGCCTGCATTGTCCTTATCATCTGAGATTATTGATGATGGTTTTAGCCTTCTCACACGCAATCTGAGCTGCAAGTGGGATCTTGGAGTCCTAGTGGACAATCACTTAAATATCAGCTGTGTGCAGCAACAACTAAAAAAGCCAACACAATCCTAGGCTGCGTTAACAGGAGGATAGAATCAAGATAATGTGAAATTCTAATACCGCTTTACAAAGCCTTAGTAAGACCACACCTGGATCCAGTATACTGCATCCAGTTCTGGTTACCACAACACACACACACACACACACCCTCTGGAAAGAGTGCAGAGAACAGCACAAGAATGATTAGGGGTATAGTAAAGCAACATGTTGATTTAAAACCAGAAATATTCCTGTTGGGTATTTTACCAGAACAGTACAATAAAGGGAATACATATTTAATTTTACATGTGTTAATGGCAGTGAGAATTGATTTTGCACAACAATGGAAAAATGAAGTGATTAACTATATAGTGAAGGCTTATTAGTATGGCTAAGCAAATATTATTATTGCTACGTGATTATTATCAATGATATGAATATTACTGTTATTGCTATTATTACTTTTCAAAACTAACTGTGCTTAGACAACACACTGTTTGTGTAGATATTGAGTTTTTGTGTTTACTAAAGAAAAATGTATAGCTAAAACTAAAAAAAAAGAATGATTAGCACACTGGAGGCTAAAAGTTACAAAGAGCAGTTATAGGAACAGAGGAGGTCAGGTCTAATGAAAAGAAGGATTGGGAAAACATGATATCACTGTTCCAATATTTGAGGGGCACCTACAAAGATGGGGGGGGGGTGTCAAACTACTTCCCAAATCACCAAAAGGCAAGACGAGAAACAATGGGTGGAAACTCACCAAGGAGAGAAGTAACCTAGGAGAAATTTCCTGAGAGCAATCAGCTAATGGAACAGCTTGTCTTCAAACGTTGCGGGTACTCCAGTGGTGGGTTTCAAAAAAATTTCGAACCTACTCTGTGGGTGTGGCCTCCTTTGTGGGAGTGGCTTGCCACCCATGTGACCTGGTGGGAGTGGCTTGCCACCCGTGTGCGCGCTCTCTCTCTCTCTCTCTCTCTCTCTCTCTCTCTCTCTCTCTCTCTCTC